AGTTGTCGCTCAGCATCCCTGGGGGATTGGTGCCAGGGCCTCTGGCAGACTCCAGCGCCCATGGATGCGCAAGTCCCTAATCTAAAGTTGCGTGGTGTTTCATAGAACCTGCGCCCACCCCAGAATACCTAATACGATGAAAAGCCGGTGTGAACGGCTGCTCCACTGTAGTGTTGAGGGAATGATAATGAAAAAGGCTCTGCACATGCTCAGGTGCAATTCAAAATATATGGATTTTCCGTCTGTGGTTGGTGGAATCGGCCAGTTTGGACTCCACCACTAAGGACCGGAGGAGATCACCTAGGAAGTGACCGTAAATAAAGAAGTCAGAGGGGCCGGCGCCGCGGCTCACTAGGCTAATCCTCCGCCTTGTGGCGCCGGCACACCGGGTTCTAGTCCCGGTCGGGGCGCCGGATTCTGTCCCGGTTGCCCCTCTTCCAGGCCAGCTCTCTGCTGTGGCCAGGGAGTGCAGTGGAGGATGGCCCAAGTGCTTGGGCCCTGTACCCCATGGGAGACCAGGAGAAGCACCTGGCTCCTGCCTTCGGATCAGCGCAGTGCGCCGGCCGCAGCGCGCCAGCCGTGGCGGCCTTTGGAGGGTGAACCAACGGCAAAAGGAAGACCTTTCTCTCTGTCTCTCTCTCTCTCACTGTCCACTCTGCCTGTCAAAAAAAAAAAAAAAAAAAAAAAAAAAAAAAAAGGTCAGAGGGCTAAGCTCTGGGACATTCCCGGGGGCAGAAGTCAGGGGATGAGAGGACCCACTGAGGCAGGAGCAGAACCAAGAGACAGACCCTGGGAATCCTCTGAAAAAAACACTTCAAAAAGGGAGCCTCCAGCTGCCCACTGCTGCTACGGAAGAAACATGAGGGTCACCCACGACGTGCAGGCACTGGCTGTTCACAGCTGAGCCAGCGTGGCCGGTGCACAGGCGGCGTTCATGTGTTTTTTGGAAAGAAGGTAACCCTTGCTTCAAAGAGCTCGGGTTGGGCAGGGCGTCAGCACCTGGGCAGGGCGCCTAACGGGCCGGAAACATCTGGCAAGGCTTCCCCAGGGAGTGAGGCCTCCTCAGCCAGCCTTGCATGGCCGCGAAGGACTCGGGGGACTAACGCCTTCTGTCCTCCTCTGTCCTAGATTTTTGGTTCTCGCCGCTCCGGGCTTTCCTGGGACGCGGTGGACTTTGAGATGTTGAGAAGGAAATGGACGCAGGAGTGATTGCTTCCTCTGACCGAGGAGCAGAACCCTGGAGGGAGACAAGGCCTGGGAGGAACGGAAAATGCCACAGCTGCCTTTACGAAAGCTGAATTTCCTTTCACGTGTGGTCAATCCAGTGAGTGGAAAGAATTTTACCTCAGAAAAATCTGTTGTAATACACATATGGCCACAAGGGGTCTCCTTTCCCCTGAACTGCATGGTTTTTTGTTTTGTTTTTTTTTTTTGAACAGAGACAAAAAAGTGGCGGCAGCCTGGACTGGTAAGGTCACTACCAAATTTGGCAACTTGGACGTAAACTTTTACAAAATCAGAGTGTTTCTTCACGGGTGGCTTGGTTTAGCAGCGTAGGAAATGAGAAGCTACTGGGTACTGTGGAGTGGGAAGAGCAAGAATGGTTCAATGTCCAGGTATTTCATGTTTAGGGCTTCTCCCCTCTCTCTTTGCTGGTGATTTTATTCCGCATGATGATCTAAAAAGCGATTTATTATGTGAGAATAATATTTATCATAGCAAACATTTGTTAGGTATTTAGTGTGTTCTAATCCTTTTTAACAATATTACCTGATGTGATTCTCACCCAGCCGTATAAGATAGGCAACATTATCCTTAATGCCAGTAATCCTTGGAGGTGGGGACTTAGCAGTGAAGGATTTGTGGCTTAGAGAAATTGACAATTGGCCCAGGGTCACACAGCTCGTGAAGGGCAGAAGTGGGATGTGAACACATATCTAACTCCACAATTACCTATCCTGTGTAGCCAATTGTAAGTAGATGGCTTTGTGAATTTAGAAATACTAAGAAACAGTTACATTGTTTGACAACATGCCCTGGTTTAGAACCAGGAATGAGAGTCGGATTTGTCTGAAGACCTTTTTTTCCCCCCAAATTTCTTTATGTCTTTTGGTTTCTTTTTTTTTTTTTTTAAATAAGATTTATTTATTTATTTGAAATCCAGAGTTACACAGAGAGAGGAGAGGCAGAGAGAAAGAGAAGTCTTCCATCCGATGGTTCACTCCCCAACTAGCCGCAACGGCCGGAGCTGCACTGATCCAAGGCCAGGAGCCAGGTGCTTCTTCTAATCTCTCACGTGGGTGCAGGGGCCCAAGGACTTGGGCCATCTTCCACTGCTCTCCCAGGCCACAGCAGAGAGCTGGATCAGAAGTGGAGCAGCCAGGACTCGAACCGATGCCCATATGGGATGCTGGCGCCTCAGGCCAGGGCATTAACCCGCTGTGCCACAGCCCCCACCCCTGTCTGAGGAGCTTTTAAGGGAGCTTTTAAAAAGGGCATTGTTGTCACGGTTTTCTCCCACTCTGGGTCTCGGGTCTGGGGCGGAGCTCTCAAATCTGTTTTTTCAGTTTTACGGGTGCGTCTTTTGTGGAGTCACCCTTGGGAGGGACCCCCGTGGGGAGCTGCTGGGGGTGAGCAGTGGCTAAATGGCTACAGGTAGAGCGGCTCCACTGGGACACGGCCGTGGCCACTTAGCTGTAGGACAGAATCATGGTGACCTGCCTGGCATTAAAAAAAAAAAAAAGTATTTAAAAAATTTCTTTGAGAAGCAGAGACAGAGAAAGCAGACAGCAAGCTCCCGCCTGCTTGCTGGTTCACTCCCAGATGTCTGCAGTGGTTGGGATGGGGCCAAGGGGCAAGCTGGGAGCTGGGAAGTCAGTCCAGGTCTCCCATGCAGGAGGCAGGAGCCTGATCACTCGAGCCATCGCTGCCTGCCGGGGTGGGCATTGGCAGGAAGCCGGACTCGGGAGCTGTGACTCAAGCCCAGGCTCTGTGATGCGGACGTGGGCGTTTCAACCAGCGTCTCAGCTGCTGGGCCAGCCGTGAACACAGAGGGTGTGACTCAGGCAGCCCCAACGCCAGCTTCCGGTTTGAGATGCTCTTCCCTCTTCCTGGGACAGCACAGTGGAAGGAAACGTGTGATTCTCCAAAGACTTTGGTGAGACATGGTCAAAGCAGAACCCCAGAGGAGGCGTTGAGGTGTTCTGGGAGGTGGGCCGTGCCAGCAGGCTGTCAGTCAACCTGGCCAGGGGGTGACTCCCGCTACCTAGGTGGTGGTCTGTATCCACCATCACTGCTGCCTGTTAGCCTGGCAGCAGCCCGCACCGGTAGTGCCTGGGTGTTTCTGCCCCGGGTGGAAATGTGCACGAGGAAGGGGCTCCCTCAAGGTCGGGGGCCCCAACACTGCCAAGTCCTAAGAACTGGCTCTTGGGCAGCAGGAAAGGAGGGAACGGTTTCCGGCCAGTTTAAGAACAAAACTTCTGCAGCGACGTTAAGTGGCCTCAAGTCCTCGGGGGATCTGGGGACAGGTCAGAAAGGCTGGAAGTCAGTTAACAGTGGAATGTCCTCCTGTGCTTGCTTCTCCAGCGACCCCGTCCCCAACAGTCACACGTGCCCGGCTTCCTCTTCTCCGTGGCCCGTACCTTTCCCGGAATGACTCCCCACCCCCGCCCCCACCCCGGCACCCTGGGCTCAGTGGGGATTTACAGCCATCAGCCCCCGGCGGCAGCTTCTCCAGATTTATTTGTTCTTTCTTCCTGGAGTTTGGTGGGAACCTGAGCACTCGTGACCCACCCAGGCCCTTTGCTCTCGACCCTGCCCCAGGAGCTTTCTGAGGTCTGGCCTCTCAGGCTCTTAGGACCCTGGAGAAAGAGGGGAATTGAAAAAAATAGCACTGTGACCCCTGAGCATTCCTGAGGGGACCTCATGCAGACTCAGCCCCCACCCAGGCTCTCAGGGACCGAGAGGGAGAGAGGGCAAGGGGTGGTCCCTGCTTTCTGCACTGGCACCCCCAGGGCTGTGCACGAGCTCAGGGCTCGCCTTCCGGAGCCTCACCTCGGCTTGGGAGCGCCAGCCCCAGCTTTCAGAGCCTGCGTGAAACAGTCCCGTTCCTTTCTCTCTAGGTCACAGGATTCCGGGATGGGGCTGGCATGGGTGCTGCAGCCCCAGGTCCCGTCAGGGCATGCGAGTGGGGGGGCTGAGATTGGCCAAGCGCCACGCTCGGGGGTTCTCAGCCTTCGGGGCTTGGGCCTCCTGCTCCTCCATCCACGCTGACGCCTCTGCTCCCTCCCGGCTGTAGCCCCCGGGGCCTCTTACCCACGGAGGGCACGCGAGCCACCACCGCATTGCCTGGCTGCCCACTCCCCGGGCGCCTGCCGCCTTCCTCAGTCCTCCAGCTGCGCTGGGTCTGCAGCCGCCCGAGTTGAAACACCCCTCGCTCCCTCCCACTTTGAAGGAGGCTGGGCTGGCCAGGGGGCTATTTTGGGAGCAGCTTCTGAGATCCAATGGCCTTGTTAGGGCAACACTGACCTTTCTGTCCCAGGGGGAGGGCAGCATGGGAGTAGGGGCGGGGCCGCGGCAGAGTGCAACCGCCCCGCACACCCACTGGGGTGCAGGAGAAGGGGGCCAGCGGGCTGTGGAATTCAGCCTGGGGCTGGGGCTGCCGCCGAGGGGGAGTTGCCCCTCTGGAAAGCGCTGGGGACCCCGCCAGCCCTCCCCTTTCACTGTGCCTCCTGAAGGATCACCGTGATTTTCCTTGGACTCCATGGAAGCCCGGCTTGGGATGCTTCGTGGGGGCTGTGCCTCTTCCCCACCTGACCCCCTCCCGAGGGGCAGCCTGCCCCTGGCTGACTGAGGGGGGCCTCCCAGGCATGGCTCTGCCCAGCCCACCCGGCACTGACCTGGCTGCTGGGCTCCTTCAGCCTCTGCTGGCCTCTCGCTCCCCCTGTTGTGGGGCGCGGTGGTGAGTCTGGGGCCCAGCCCTGAGGGTGCTGCAGGGCGTCGCCCAAGCTGGAGGCCGGGCAGGTGGCCGGAGGCGAGGATGCCATGAGCGGGGGCCGCTTTGACTTTGATGACGGCGGGGCGTACTGTGGGGGCTGGGAGGGGGGGAAGGCCCACGGACACGGGCTGTGCACGGGCCCCAAGGGCCAGGGCGAATACTCCGGCTCCTGGAACTTCGGCTTTGAAGTGGCAGGCGTCTACACCTGGCCCAGCGGAAACACCTTCGAAGGCTACTGGAGCCAGGGCAAGCGGCATGGGCTGGGCATAGAGACCAAGGGGCGCTGGCTGTACAAGGGCGAGTGGACGCATGGCTTCAAGGGACGCTACGGAACCCGGCAGAGCACCAGCAGCGGTGCCAAGTATGAGGGGACTTGGAACAATGGCTTGCAGGATGGCTATGGCACCGAGACCTATGCAGATGGAGGTGAGCCCGGGGGAGGGGCCGGAGCAGGAGGAAGGCCGGTGGAGGGCGGGGGGGGGGGGGAGCCAGGGGCTGTTGGCAGAGAGTCTGAGGGCTAGGATGTGATTTCGCTGTGTGGCTTTGGGCAAGATGACCTACCTCTCTGAGCATCATTTTCTTGGTAGCAAAGGTGGTGCCAATAAAGGGGCCGCCGAGAGCCGTGGCAGGGATGCTGCATGCACGCCTGCCACGTAAACACAATAGAATGTGCCTGCTGCTGTTTGCATGCCCGGTGGAGGAGCAGCTGTGGAGCAGACCCCAGCTTGTGCGGTAGCAGCGTCAGGGTCCAGTCTCAACTCTGCCATGACAGCCATTTGGCTATTATTTTCAAACAATAGGTCACGAGCGGTGTTCATTCGTTCATCCCTCCACACACCTGCCCGCCCACCCAAAAGCCGACACACTCGCCCATCCACATGCCCAGCCACCCGCCCATCTGTCTGTCCGTCCATCCGTCCATCCGTGTATCCATTCACTGTGCATCCACACACTCCTGATTCGCTGCACATCCTATTTGCTGGGCACTATGCGAAGGGTTAGTTACCGTCCCCGACTTCCAAGCCGGCCAAGCAGACAAGCTGTTGCTCACCGGTACGTCCCGCGTGCCGAGACGGAGAGCAGTTAGATGGATCGTGATGGGAAACTTGCTGTGAGGGTGAGAGCGGGGGCTGCACAGGCTGAGAGGGGAGGGCCGCGGGGCCGCAGGGCTCAGGAGCAGGAGGGCCATCGCAGGGCGAGAACACACACAGGAGCCTGGCACAGGGACGACAGAGCCGCTGTCATGGACCTCATCCATCCACCGAGTGTAACTTCCCATGCTCCACTTACTCAGCCTCAGTTTCCCCATCCATAAAATGAGACACCTTAAGTATAGGTACCGCTCCAAATGTGGGTGGTCGATGAGCCTTTCCACCCATTAGAAGTGTAAATTCAGGACCCCTCGCGGCCCTCCTGAATCCGGATCCCTGAGCAAGGGCCCAGGGAACTCTGAACCGGCTCATCAGGCAGTTTTTTACATATTACAGTTTGAATCAGGGGCTAGCAAGCTATAGACCACAGGCAAAGAGGCAAACAGTATTTTGTGAGTTTTGGAACTTTTGTGACGGTCCCGAATGATGTCCCCAAAGTGCCTCTTCTCTGGCCAAGCCAGAGGCCTTGGCTGTGTGATGCCCGTGGAAGCGGACGTGGAAGCGGGTTGCCCCTCCTCCCTTGAGTGGGCGTTAGCACTGGACTCAGGGTAGCTCAATGGCGTTTCCCTGGCAGGCGGTTTACCTGGAAACCACGGCTAATGAAAAGCGTGAACTTGGGTTAGAGGCATTTGTAGGGAATGGTGTTTGCCACTGGTCTCCTCTCTTTGTGCCAGAGGACTGGGAGTAGGCCGCTCCGAGTGGGCTGGGGTCGGGGTGTGACCCAGGCATGTGGGGCAGAAAGAGGCGTCAGGCAGCCCAGGTGCAAGGTTTGCTCACGCCGGGCCCCTGGGGTGCACTGAGACACCCTGGGGTGCAGGGTGGGTTGGTGTCTTGGCTACAGGTGGTGGGTGTCTGGGTGAGCACTGCCCTCATGCGCCTTGAGTTTCCGTGGCCACCTGGGGTGGCTGCAGAGCACAGGCCGGCATGGCACAAGCTTGGGGTCAACGTCTGGCTGCACCACGTGCTACTTTGATGACCTCCAGCTATTTGCAGAAACTCTGTGATCCAGTGCCCTTCCGTCCCCCAGAAGTTTTTGCCAGGCCCTGTGCTGGGCGCCGGGCTCACAGCAGAGAACAAGCCTCAGTTCCTGTGGCTGGAAAACGCAGGAGATCCTTGAGTCGTTTGGAGGTGTTGGTCACCTATGCAAAGGGGTGCACCGTGGGCGCGCGCCAAATGCCCTTTGCCTTCCCACTTCTCTCTTCCCTCTCTCCACACCAAGGGGTGTGTGCAGTGGGGGTCCGGATGCAAGTCAAAGGGACGCACATTTCCAGGCTGAGCTGAGCGTGGGAAACTGAGCCAATGCCAAAATGTTGAGAAGGAGAAAAACTCACTCCTTCATTCACGCAGTCATTATTACCGAGCTCCTCCTCTGTGCCAGAAACTACCCCACAGCGTATGTTAGGGGCCAGTGAGCAAGACAAGGGGCTCCCTGTCAAGTGGAGAAGAGAGAAGACAAACATGTATAATTTTCAGAAGTTGACAGGGCTATGAAGGAAGCTGGCAGTGCGGGAAGAGGGCGGCATTTTCACATGGGATGGTTTCAGAAGCAGGATGGGAGAGGTTGGAAGGACGTGAAGGCTTTCAGGCAGAGAGAGTGGTGACACAAAGGCCCTGGGGCAAGACTGGGCTTTGCTCTGTGGGAGGAACAGCAAGAATACCAGAAGGCAGGAACAGAGGGGCTGAGGGAGACAAGCTGGGTGCAGGCTGGAATTGTGGGTGGGGCCAGGTCACCTCACTCTGCAGGCCCTGGGTTTTGCAGGCCCAGGTGTGGCCAGGGGCTCTTCAGGCTGGGTAATGAGAGGACCTGCTGCTCAGGTTTGTCAGGGGCCCAAGGCTTCCTCAGAATGAGACGCCTAGAGGCCCTGGAAGCCTCACGGATTCTCTCTCCCAAGCCACACACAACGTGTAACCCTCCAAAATTAGATATGGCGGCTGCTTCGGAAAATCTCTTTAATCAACCTGTCAGCAGTGCCCTGGAGAGTTTGCTAAGGCCCTGCCCTCTGCCCCATCCTGGGTAGCACGGAGGGGAATGTGCACAAATAAGATCCTGGGATTAGGAAGTCAGGAGTCAGTAGCCCAGCCTCTTGCCCTGGCCCCATCCTCTTGTTTAATCTCTTCGAGCCTTCGTTTCCTTACCCATACGATGGACCTATCCTAAACCTCTCATAAGACTTCCCATGAGATAAATGAATATTCAGTAATGATAGTCACCATTACTGCTATATATTATGAATTCATTCAACAAATGTTTATTGAACGATCACAAAGCCACTCATGAATTTATTGAGTGATTATGAAGCCACTGTGCTACGCAGTGGGTGAGCAATGAACAGCATGGAGAGACTAGCAGGAAACTGTGCTATGGCCCAGTGTCGGGTAGGAGGCGGGCACGGGCAGGGGACCAAGGAAGCGAGAGCAGGCCACCACCTGACGTGCGCACCCAGGGAAGTGTCCTAGAGCAGATGGGGTCCGTGCCCTGCCACTGTGCAGGAGACAGCCAGGTGCCCCCAGGAAAGGGCCGCTCCAGGTGGAGCTAAAAGCGGGCACAGACACCGGGACGTCCAAGTTTGCTGTCCGGCCAGGAGAGGAAGCTGACACGGGTCTCTCGTCCCACATGCTGGGGGCTGCCTTAGCCCGTGTCAGAGTCACCGGGGCTGCAACCAGCAGCGCCCACCCCTGAGCGTGGTGAACTCACTTTAGCGACCCACAGGTTTTCACATGCAAGAATGGAATAGAACAGAACATGCGAGAATGTTTCACAGAGAATAAGAGAGAGGATTATTTCCCGAAAAACTTGCTGGTCGGGGGATAGATGTATGTGTATGAGTGTGTGTTCATGTATGTGTTTATGTGTGTTGGGATATAAAATATATTTATTTATTTGAAAGGCAAAGTAACGCAGAGAGGAGGGGAGACACACCGAGAGATCTTCCATCAGCTGTTTACTCCCCTCTGGGAGTGCGCAGTGGCTGGGGCTGCGCCAGGCCAAAGCCAGGAGCCTGGAGCTTCTTCCAGGTCTCCCACTTGGGTGCAGGGGCACAAGGACTTGGGCATCTTCCATTGCTTTCCCAGGTGCATTAGCAGGGAGCTGGATCAGAAGTGGAGCAGCCGGGTCTCAAACTGGTGTCCATATGGGACGCTGGCATCTCAGGCAGCAGCTTAGCCTGCTCTACCACAATGCCAGCCCCCCCAAAATGTTTCTCACTAGAGGTCATGGACAAAAACACTGGAAGGTCACAGTTCCGAAGGGACTCAAACAGACTTGTGCTCCCAAGCCCCTGCTGTTCCAGTGCCCTCCCCACACCCTCTCGTCTTGCCTGGCTTGGAGGCAACGCTCTCTCTCTTGCGTGGAAAGAGGAAGGAGAAGGCACTTGGGCTCCTGCCTCCCAACCTGTTGTAAGCCCCCAGCACCACCGCCCTCCTATAGCCCTCATTCCTCTCTGGCCATATATAGCAAAGCTAAAAATAGCTGCTGATTTAAAGCCGGCGTCCCCCCTCCCCCCGGGCCCCAGCCCCGAAGTTGTCATGTGTGGCTGCCGACTGTTCCTGCCCAGCGGCCCAGAGGCTCCAGCACTGCAGGGGCCATCAGGGATCCTTGCTTCCTGAGCTTCTCGACTGGGGCCCTGCCTTGGTCTCAGAGGCCTAACGCGACCTGAAACCGTGTGCCTGGGCTGGCTACACGTTGCTGCTAAGCTTTCTCTTAGCTCGTCCCCAGATACTTGAAGTAATCCTGTGTTCAGATACAGTCCAGAGCCTTTGGTTAGTTTCACAATCCTCTCCCCAAACTGTGCTGTGGAAAAACCAGGCCCAACGTTGACTTGTTTCCATAGGCTAATTATAATAATAATTAATACTAATATTTTAGGACTGCTTACTGTGTGCTGAGTGCAGTTCTTGGCCCTTCACAACCACAAGGAGCAGAACTGTTATTCCCTGTTATACAGATAAAGAAGCTGAGATGAGATCAGACAGGGATTCTCATTCAAGGTCCTCTAGCTAGAAAGAGGGAGGGATGGAATTTGATAATAATAAGAGACAATTGAATATTTTATAATGTGAATACATATTTTTAAAAATTATAGTGATATAAAAAAGTTAGGATTGGCTACGTAATTTGTGGGACCCAGATCCAAATGAAAGGGCAGGGCTCCTTCAACACCATTTAAGACTTTTTTTTAAATAAGATTCATTTATGTATTTACAAGGCAGAGTTACAGAGAGAGGAGGAGGAGAAAGAGAAGAGAAAGATCTTCCATCTGCTGCTTCACTCCCCAA